TTTAACTCCAGCAACTTGATCCAAGAGTCTTTGTTCTTAACCACTCGTGAATCAATTCTAGACAGATTTATCACAATTTTTAAAAGGCAGTCATCTGGGAAAGATGCTTAGAAGCAAGAAGGTGGACTAGACAAGCTCCTAAGGGTTGCTTTTACTCCATGATTCTGCCAAGCCAATGCCACATAAGCCTCCGCTTCCCTGTGCTGACCCTGGGGCTACCTCTGAGCCTAGACTGAAGTTTTTCTCAAGTTCATCTTGATGTCTATTATCTCCCCCATGAGCATTCATTCTCTCCTTTCTCCTTGCCAAAGGCTAAGACAAGCTTTCAAAGGCTTGAGGAAATAAAATGTCAGGCCTTGTGTCTTCCTCAGGCTTTAGAGACTGGAAATTCTACATATACTAGGATGTGTCCTATTTGAGGAGAGCCTCTTGCCCCAAACGTAGTATCTTAGGTTTGTGAGAATCTTCAAATGTCATTCAAGTCAGCCACCCTGACCTCATATTGCTTGAGCCCCTTCCCAGCATCTCCACTCCTGGGAAGGAGAAGGGCTGTCCTTCTTGTGCTTGCCCACCAGCTGTGCTTGCCATTCTGTCAAGTTCTTACTGGCCAAAGAGCTCCTCCTTAAATTGTGCTAAACTTGAACTCTATGTAACTTCCATCCATGACTCTGGCCAAGGACACCATTCTATGCCACCTGGAATGAGCTGAATTCCTGTGAGGGCCCTTCAAGTGGGCTGCCCTGTCTCCCAGCAGGCTCTTCTTCCAAGAAAATGACTGCAGAGTCTTTAGTTCTATTGCAGCTAACCTGGCCTTCAGATAACCTTGATCTTCTGGCCACTCTCTCTGGCATGTCTGTGGCTACATGAGAGTGAGCTTCCCAGCGGCAATGGCAAAAGTTTACCATGCTCCGAGCAGTTGCAAGTATACATAACCATCACCTACCTTGCTCTATATGTTGCTAGTTTAAAATTTAAACCAAGATCAAAGCATCATTTACTTTCTTTTTTTTTTTCCTTGCAGGGACAGGTTCGGGGTAGGCAGTTACATCATAGCATTGCATCACTCTGTTGACTCATTTAGAGTGACTATTGCATAAAATACCTCAATCATTTCCACGATGTGGCTCTGAATCCCATGCTTGCTTTTTTGGGAGCCACAACAAAGCCCTGGGTTTCCCCCGATATCACTCCACCTTGTTAATCCATGGTTAGAACTCACAGAAACATTTTAGATCCAGATTCTATCACCTCATGTATTCCCCTGGTGGGTTTACAAACCTGCCTTTGTGTCTTCATTTAAATCAATGACAACAAGTGCTCCTGTGAAGGACAGAACTCAGGTCAGATTCCAGTCCACTTTGGAGGTGAAGTGGCCGGTGGGAGCAGGGGTTCCCAAGGAAGACTTGAGTGCTTAGAGAGTTTCCTGACCAGACACTTTTATTTATTTCATTCAGAATGTACGTTGCAATTTGTAAAGTATGGAGATACCTGTTTACATTTCTGCTCATGAAGAAACACCCTATTTGTTAAAAGGGTGTTAGCAGTAGGAGGTGGAAAGTGAGTAGGAAAATGAGAAGTGTCTATATACCCTGGTTATCATTTTTCTCAAGGGTCCAAGAGCATGCCGAAGCTGACGGGGGATCACTGGCCAGGAGGCTTGTCTTATGCTTTCAACACTCAGAATTTCAGAGTTGTTCCTTTAGGATGGCTCCACACCCTGAATGAAGTTTAAGAAAGCATTTTGGCTTTTAAAACCCACTGTCTAATTTCTCCTTCCTTCCCTTCCTTCCTTCCTCCTCCCCTCCCTCATCCTCATAAACTGTGGCTGAGTTTAAGTTGTCACAATTGATTTATAGATATTAAAAAGCTTTTCATTTTGGGAATATTTAGCTATTTCCTCCACTGATGAGGCTGTAATCTCTCATGCTCTTGAGAATTATTGAGATTAATAGTATGGAAAAGATCCCAAATTGATCACTTTTCTTACAAGTTTTCCTCATTAAATATGGGCTGGCTTGCCAAAGAAGTTATGGAGTTCCTGGGGAGACTTTAAATTGAAGAGATTTTCTTCAGCTGCATGGCTTGGCCATGTCCTGTTCACAGACAGAGAAATGGATAAAATGATCCCTGAAGCTCTTTGTTTTGTGACCACTGGGTCCCAGACGGCTCACCATGGCGAGAGGCTCCGTCACAGTGTTTCTGGACTAGCAGGTCATGAGAAATCACTATGGCAACACTGAATAGTCTCTGAGGAACCATAGGTAAGGAGTCCCTGTAGAAGCACTCAAAGGCTTAAGGAAGCTACAGGATTTTAAATGAACTGACACATTGATGGCACAACTAATGAGGGTGGCAAGCTTGACCTTAAGTGATAGATTGCCCCTTCGTCAGAAAGGCTGATAGATGCTGATTTCTGAATGCATTCAACAAATATTTATTGGACACAGGTCTATGTGCCAAATGTACTATGAAAGGGAATACAAAAATAAGCAAACACCATGGTTCCTGATTTCGTGGAACTTAACATCTGATACGGGAGACTAATATAAACTAACTAACCACACAAATAATTACAGAGTTGGTAAGTGTAAATTACAGGACACAGTGGAATGTATAAGATGGGAATCTAGCTGGGATGAAAAGGTGGTGGTCAGAATTTGGAATTGTATGGGCTTCTCCAAGGAAGAAGAAGAGATCTGTAGGAGGAGGAAATTAGACAAGCAGGTAAAATTGGAACATTCCAGGGAGGATCATGGGCACAGACCCTGAGGCGGCAAAATGAGGACAGCAGCCAAAAATGAGGTTCGTGAGGAGTGCCAGGGCAATGTAGTGCATATTATCCATTTTAGTCTTTAGCCAAAGTGCAATGGGAACACATTGGAGGGTTTCAGAAAGTGGTGGCAAGGAGAAGAGTAGAACGATCAGATTTCAATTTTGAACAATTCTGACCGTGAGGGAAAATCATTGAAGGTACACAGGGATGAATATGCTACGTTGAGATAAGAGATGACGGAAGCTTGAGCAGATGATTGCACTGAAGGTGACGAGAAGTAGAGGGACTTGAGATCTCCTCAGGAGACAAAATTAACAGTAGTTGGTGCTGGACTGGGAAAGTGTATTTGGGGCAAAGGAGCTAGAGACTCCAGATCTGTTTACATTGTGGGTGTCCAGGTATAGGACACTGGTGGGTTTTTAGATCAGAACACAAGGAAAGTCCAGGAGATTATCCTGGTTCCTCCAAAATAAATGAGGAGGGATCCCCGAGGCTAGAGGTGGTAGAAGACAGCATCTGCGTTCATCTTGGTCATAGATTCCTGGAGAAGCTCCTCCAAGGCATCCTGAGTAGTGGCTTCCAGCCTTTGGATGTTAGTAAGCTCTGTGAAGGAAGGGACCATATCCACTGTGTTCCATACTGCAGGCCGGTGCTTAGAAGAATTCCCGGCACATGTGTCTCCAAAAATATTATAGATAAAAATAATTTTCCCAAGAGCACAGAGAAGAACACAAGCAATGGCAAGATGGAGAGAAGTGTAGGAACTCACACCTCAGCCTCCTGGTGCAGCGGCTTTCCGATGCCCCTTCCACTTCTCTCTCTGGTCTTGTGCTTCTGTTGAGACTTATGACTTTATACTCCAAACATCCACCTTTTCATTTAGTTTTAAAAGCTTTGAAAGCTGTTGGGTGGAAATATTTGGTTTTATTTTGAGGTGCTATCATATTTGGAAGCTTTCATTTAAGTAGAACTTTTCTTTGGTTAGACGAAACAGGGAGTTACCGATTGTAACTACTGGGAGAAATGAGCAAAGAAAGCAGGTCTAGGCAGAACAAAGGATATAATACTATTAGGTAGGCCCCCAAACAGGACTAGAATGGTTGAAATTCAGCAAAGGAGGTTCTTTCAGGTTCTAAAAGTCTTCCTGGAGCCCTGGAAGGTCAGAGAGCAGCCGGCCAGACATTTTTAAAGCAGTAAAATGAAGCCAAGTTCTGGGAATTCAAGGTGAGAAGAAAGAGCCCCAGCAAACAACATTAACGAACTTCAGTTCCAAGGACAAATCGAGTGAGGGTCGATTGGTGGTTAATGTAACCAGAAGAAATTAGAGATAAACAGATGAACTGTCTTTAGGGACAAGGCCAAGCTGGGGATGACTTCACAGGTAGGTAGTGGCAATAGTTTAGCTAACTTTGCCTGAGAAGTCTTCTACCTGATCTTGCTGTGTTTTTCTTCATTTTCATGCAAAAATGATGAGTATATGTATCTTCCTTCAAAATCATGGCATATGTATCCAGGTGGGCTGATACCATTGGTAATTTGATTTTTCAAAGTCATAGATATGGTGTACACTTGAAAGGAGGACATTGCCTCATAGGCAGATGTTTCCAGAAAGGTAAATGAAAGTAGATAGAATTACTGATCTATTTAAATGGACATGATTTTAAGCTGCAGATTTAAATATTCTCTTCATAATAAGTGGTGTGTGTGTGCACTAGATAATTTCTCTGGCTCTTTCACTCTATATGATTCTGCAACAAATGTTGAATTCTGACATTTCATGCATTTCTATGTAAATGTTCAGCAAAACTTTTTATTTATTTATTTATATTTATTTTTATTTTTTTAAATTGTTTTATTGCTCAAAGTATTACAAAGAGTATTACATATGTCTCCTTTTTTCCCCACCCTTAACAATCCCCTGGTCTCCCCTACCCCCCAGTGTCTTATGTCCATTGCTTATGCTTATATGCATGCTCAGCAAAACTTTGTGAGTGATATGGATATTAGAATCTGGGGAAGCATCCGTTTAGAGAACCATTTTTTTGGATGGTGAGTGGGTCTAGGGTCAATTCAATTTGGAACCATAAATATGAGCAAGGAGCAGAGCTGCTCACACTGTAACTATAAAAAGAGTCATTAATTTAGTTCTATATCTTCATGGGGCTTCAGAGACAATTCAAATGTAGATTTCCAACCACCCCAGGTGTAAATTACATCAGGTATTTTTAGTCTTGTTCTATTTGCAATCACCAGAATAAACATAAATATTTCCTACATTTTTGTTCTTTTGGAATGGTTGGTTACTCTGTTGTTACCACTTCTCTACCAGACAGTTGTGTGTGCATCGGTGCTCACGGTGGCCTTGAATGGGCTGTTCATCCTCCCTAGTCCCCTCTAGGATAGGAAGGCTTGCCTTGGAATTTCCCTGCCTCCACTTTTATACCCATTTCTGTTTTCAGTCCTCTATTCCTTTCCCTTCCCTCCTACTTCCAGTCCTCCCTAGTGTTTGTCTACTGCCCTTTAGCTTATACCAGTCACATAACACTTCATAACCCTTCTTCTCCTGCCCCATCAAAGCTCACAGAATGGAGTTCCAGTCCTTCAGAGTCTTATTCTCAGTAAGATAACAGAACACATCTAATCCACTTACGAAAATAGTCTACTTATCTCTGAACATTTTGATAAGGGACATATATTAAACATTCAGGAATGGGGGTGGGGAGTATGGGTTAGCAGTGGTAGAGATCATTTTGGATGGGGAAACCTTTAAATTTTTCTTACATCAGACCAAGCAGGCAAAGCCTAAATATTGGGCAGGTACCATTCCTGCCCTTCTTTTCAAGGAAGGCTTGAGAAGGGACTCTGGGATATCACCAGGGTTGGTGGGATCTCTTCATTTATCAAAAGAAGCATCATCTAAATGAGTCCAGGTTGGATTAGGTAAGGAATAAAATTAAAAAGGAGGTATGTCCTTGATATCAGCCAAATTCATAGCCCGCAGCAGACGTTTGTGGTTAGCTGAGTCACACTGCCTTGGGATTAGCCAGCTCTACTTTCTGTTTCAACAATAAAAAGTCTTGCAACACTGCTGGCATGTGAGACAGAGGTATCCAGAAAGCCTTGGCATCTTTTCCAACAGCATAACGGGACTTAGGGAAGAGACTTGTGAGAGCATGGTCCATGCACTCCACCACCAGGGAGAGGTCCACGTTCACAAAGGATACAGTGCCCCGCAGCTTGTCCATACCTGTAAAAAGAGAACAAGTGTGTTTACTCTTTGATGAAAGGGGAAAAGGAGTCTGTAGAGGTGAGGGTACAAAGGGGAAGATGCGTTAGTGGGAATTTTGAATTTGCCATTATAATTGAGGCCCATTGTGATGGGTTTCTATCTATTTATCAGAAAATAATGCAGCGATGCTTTCTCTAGACCAGCAGTTCTCAACCTGTGGGTCGTGACCCCTTTGGGGGTCGAACAACCCTTTCACAGGGGTCTCCTAAGACCATCGGAAAACACATATATAATTACATATTGTTTTTGTGATTAATCACTATGCTTTAATTATGTTCAATTTGTAACAATGAAAATACATCCTGCATATCAGATATTTACATTAGGATTCATAACAGTAGCAAAATTACAGTTATGAGGTAGCAACGAAAATAATTTTATGTTTGGGGGTCACCTCAACATGAGGAACTGTATTAAAGGGTCGTGGCATTAGGAAGGTTGAGAGCCACTGCTCTAGACCGTTGGCTCTCAAAATTGAGTGGGTAGCAGAATTTCCTGGAGGGCTTGTTAAGGCCCAGATCGGTGGGTCCCACCTTCAGCAGGTGTAAGGTGGGGCCCAAGAATTTGCATTTCTATCAAGTTTCCAGGTGATGCTGATGGCACTGGTCCAGAGACCAAACTTGGAGAGGCACTACTTTAAAGCCACAAGGGAAACAACGTCATAAAGTATATGAGGCTCCTGAGCCCAGGGAGTTATGGGTTTGATTTTGGGTTTGTTTTGAGGGAGTACCATGTTTACAGGAAATGTGGGAATGCATGTGCACTTAAGCATGTGTGTGCGTGCACTCATGTGTCATGTGCCTCTGTAATCCAATGAATAAATAGAGAATCATCACTCCAAAGCCCTGACTCAGGAAGCTGAAGAGATCCTCCTTCTCAGGTAAGTGAAGTGTTTGAATAATGAGCTAAGACACTTTTGAAGAGGCTGGTGTGTCATCAGGGATTGGTAATGGCTTGGAACATTCCTCCTGTGCTCTTTTTGTTGTTGTTGTTGTTAATCCTCACCCAAGGATATTTTTCCATTGTTTTATAGAAAGAGTGGAAGGTATGGGGAGAGGACAGAGGGGAACATCGATGTGAGAGAGACACATGGATTGGTTGCCTTCCACATGCAACCTGGGCCAGGGATCAAGCCTTCAACTGACTGGAATCAAACCCAGGACCCTTTAGTCTGTGCGTTGATGCTCTATCCATTGAGCCAAACCAGCTAGGGCCTCCTGTGCTCTTAAAACATACCTGAGGTCCTGGCTGGTTTGGCTTAGTAGATAGAGCATCGGCCGAGGGACCGAAGGGTCCCAGGTTTAATTCTGGTCAAGGGCACATGATCAGGTTGCAGGTTCGGTCATCAGTGGGGCCTGCAGGAGGCAGCCGATAGATTATTCTCTCTCATCATTGATGTTTCTCTCTCCCTCTCTCTTCCTTTCTGAAATAATAAAAATATTTTAAAAGAAAAAAACATATCTGAGTTGTGTCTTCTCAAAAGAAAACTATTATTTTAAATCTTCCTTTCAACTTCAGGCCCCAGTAGCCACAAGTTGATCAAAGAGACTAAATGAGGTTACCTAATAAGCCTTAGTGGCTATTTTGAACTCCTATTACTCCAGCCTGGGAAACGAAGAAAGGTGAGCTTAAGTTTGTGGTCTACTTCGGAAAAGTGAGTCTGGCTGATCTCCAAATCCTGACTTGGAAAACTCTAAAAAGAACAACCAGTGTAACATTGGGCTCAAAGCCACATGGTACTTCTGAGACAGGACATTTGAAGCAGGGGCTAGTGCAAACGTAATTTTGAGATGGAAGTTGATGATATACTCATAGGCATTTATAAAGTATCAATGTTAGTATCAAATGGAGAGAGCGCTTTTAAAAGAGCATTTTGTTTCTGAATCTACTTAGAACCTTCAGAGTTGGTGAGTGAGGAATAATATTTAACGGCAGAGGTTTTAAATCTATAGTGACATGTCAGCACTGGGAGGTTTGTCAGACCAGAAGTTATAGTTGATATTTTGGGTGTCCCCCAACGATGTATATATTTATATTAACAGCTGATAATTCACTTAATTTTCACTCCTTTTCAGGTTTAACTGACTTGAAATAATGGGTGAAGTCAGACTAAACTTTGAACAAAGAAAATTTATCCTAAAGTGCTGCTAGACTTTTTTTGGGGGGCAGGGGGATACATAAAAGATAAAGTTTATGGTACAAAACTGTCAAAGAATCAAGGCAACAGTCGAAGAATCAAGGGCACATAAATACTGAACAAAATGATTCTTGATGTTTGCCATTTCATTGCTTCGAGTTATCAGTGATGGCTGTATCAGAATGATCATTAGTTTGAAAACAGGCATTGACAAAAAAATTATTCATTTCTGCAGATTATTTTAAATTTTGAAAATGAACTGTATGTTCATAAACACTGACTTTATAATAATTAAAAGTGCATATTCATTTTTTTGGGACCCCCTGTATATGTGTATATGTTTGCATCTGTGTGTGCGTGTGTGTATGTGTGTATGTATAGTGGGTGGGGTGGTTGAAGGAGTCAGTCATTCTAAAAACCTCCCTGGGTGGATCTGCCTTGGTCTTTGCTCCACCTTGTGAACTACTGGCCTTGAACCTTACCACAGTTGGCTGTCTTACCAAGCCCATTGAGGAAGAGGCTGGATTACAGCTTGGAGGAATAGAGTGACACAAAGTTAGGTGGGGCAGGGCCAGGGAGTTTGAGGTGGAGGCGCAATCCTGATATAGGAACTTCGACCAGCTCCTTAATGCCTGTTGACATTATAGTGTGGTGCAAAGTCAGGCTACCTGTGTTCAAATCTAGTACTTCCACTTATAACTCTGCAACTTGGGCAACTTACTTCTCTGTTTCTATAAAATTAAGGTGGTATCTATTTCATAAGGTTTATTTGGGCATTTTATTTATTTACTTTTTATTTAAGCATTTTAAATGAAAGTTCATGTAAAGTTCTTATAGTGGGGACAAGTACACATTATTATTTCTCCATCCCTGACTCAGTCTCTGGACTTAGTTACTTCTTCTATCTCCACTCCCCGTGCATTCCTGCTCCAGAAAGTTTTTACCCAAATAATTCCTTCCTATATTTTGGGCTTTATTCAAACCTGACCTGTCCCATAAAGATTTCTTAGCTAGTATTTTTTTTTCTTGGTCTGAATTCCTTGGGCAATTAGAGACCACATGATATAGCACCCTTCTGGACTATAGGGATATGTCTAAGAAGTAAAGGATTGATTTTCTTTATGCTGTACAGTCTCATTGTTTTACAGTCTCTCTTGGTTACTTTTTGTTTTCAACTAGATTATAAGCTAGTTAAGGGTCAGAGTCTAAGTCTTTATATTTTGGGACCTCCATAAATCCTGGAACAATGTTAAGTGATTGATTGGTAGAGGAGTTTGGGTAGAGGTGAAGACCAGGAGTTGTATTGCCTTGGGTAGGACATTTCACCTTCCAAAGCCTCTGTTTACTATTCCTATAGTGTTGTGTGTTTTTTTGAGGGGTAAATGATACACATAATTTATAAAGTGCTCAGTATGGAACTTGGCACTTAGTAAATGCTCAGAGGAGCAAGAGATGACATTGGAATTAGTAGGAATACCTGATCCATATTTAAGATCCCTATTACTATGGAACCTCATTTTTTAATATATGTTTGAGTCTCCTGCATACTGGCTAGGACAATGAATCCCAGAGGACCCTGGGTCCATCCCCAAAACTCACATTTTTCAATGTAACCTTCTCCGTATTGGTGTTTGATATCAGGAGACAGGTCCTTCCAAATGGCAAATTTCTTCTCAGCAGCCTTTACTGGATCTGATAATCCTGTTTTGAATAATCCAGGTTCGATGCAACAGACATGCACACCAAAAGCTTTCATGTCCCGTCTGAGTAAAAAACAAACAAACCATTGATGATGTTCAGTGGAGGTTCATTTGGAAAATGCTCGTGACATTTTCTTGTGAAACTTTTCACGGGATCAGAGAATCAGGTGCATTGGACAGGAGCATCTTGTTCTGCCCTCTCAGTTTGCGGATCTGAAGGTCAGGGTGGTGAAGTGAGGGCTGGTTTAGTGACAGAACAGGACAGGGACCTGGGTAGACCCACCCCCAGCCCAGTGTTCCCCCTGAGCCTACCCTCATTGAATTGACAAGCATTTGGGCTGAGGACACGTTTCTTTTCAGTACATAGCATACTTTATGGTGAAATTGACCGATGACTAGTCTGGCTGGACAAGTTTACCTCCATTCTAGGAATGTGAGGAGACTGCAGCATGAATGAGGATATGCTGAGGGACACAATATGACTTGACTAACCTGTTCCCTAGGCCACTCAGCAAGCTCTTTCATCATCTCACTGCAGAAAACCCAGACCTATGCATTTACCAGGCAACAGGGTTTTGGTGAAATCATGGTCCCCGTTTCTTTAAAGCAATCCAGTTATGTGAATAATTATTTCCTATATTTAATTTATATTTCTATCAAGAGTATATAAGGAAGTAATTATTCATTTTACAGAAGACTCTACCAACCATAAGACTTACCAAGAACTTTACCAGTAACCTTAAATTATGATTTAATTGATCTTACATTTGCTTTCTAGTAACACACCTATTGTTTAGTTTGAAGTATATTTTACAAAAATGCAAATTAGCTTGATTTTGAAATAGTTTGAAGGGTACGTTGCTTGCATTGAAATGAAAAAGATTATTTTTCAACCTGATTGTATTTTTCTCGCCTATCTTCTGACCTCCTGTGGGTTTGGAAAGTGTCAGTGCTAAAGGGGTATATGGGAAGACTTTCCTCTCCATCTACTCATGAAAATAACATCCTCCAGGGACAAATGGCTTTAAGTCATCCAACTAACCTTACCAGGTGAGTAAAACCAGTATGAAACTAGTATGTTGCTGGGCAAATACAGCTTTAAAGAGCCCCAACCCTTTCCCAATAGGACAGCTGCCCCCAAATCCTCCTGGAGCTGCCACTGGACTGTGGCCTGCATGCACAACACCATTTCCAACACTTGTTCCATGACTTAGAAACTTATGAACACTCTCTACTGATTAATTTCAGGCATAGCACAGCCGCGTTTGCAATCCCACAAACCCTTCCGTTGAAATATCTTTTTAAAATTAAGTATGTCTCTAAGTGTACTAACATTTTATTATGATACTGTTGCTGAGAGAGTGGAACCAAAGGGCAACCAAGCAGATTGATGGAGGTTCTCCATGACCTTGCTACTCAAAGTGTAATCTCTCAACCAGGGGCAGCACTTGGGTGCTTGTTATAAATGCAGAACCCAGGATCCACCCCCAGGCCCACTGAATCAGAACCTGCATTTTGAAAAGATCAAGGCGATTCATATGCACATTAACACTGAAGAAGCATTGTTCTGACATTGTCTTGTGTGTTTATTTCTTGGAAGAATCAAACCTGGAAACCTGATTAAATAGCAAAATGGAGTTGCTCTGTCTCTATTAATCTCTGTAGAATAATCTAACCTTTTATTAGTAAGCTACACCTAGAACCATGGTGTAGATCAGCCGTGGGCAAACTACGGCCTGTAATGATGTTTACTTTGAATTTATATTAGTTCACACAAACACTCCATCCATGCTTTTGTTCCGGCCCTCCCGTCTAGTTTAAGAACCCATTGTGGCCCTCGAGTCAGAAAGTTTGCCCACCCCTGGTGTAGATCATAACTCTAACATGTACCTGCAACTAGTTGAATAAATAAATGGTTGAATTGAAGAAAAGATAGTATGTAATTTCATCTTTTCTCTTGCCTATCATAGCACACTCAACTGGATACTTTCCATTTGCCCCACTGTCTCCTCCACCCATGTGTCTGCTCTCCACGCTGGGAGGCCTGCCTGTATTAACTATATTTTAGCTTCTGTTTGGTTCAGTCAATTGGGAGCAACAGAGGAAGAGCAGAGGAAGCAATGGGAAGAGGTTGGACTAGTTATTACTCCTGTGATGTTGACACTGGTTAATTTTATCCCTCAACTGAAGGTGACTGCCTCTATGTATCCAGGTTCTGGAAACTGCCCTTTCTTTTCCCTTCAGTCTTGTGGGTAGAGATGCGCGGCTATCATTAATTTCCTGGACATTACATTACCCTTTGGGATTTCACTACATGACTCTGATGCTTGCCAATAGTCCTTTAAGTAAACTCTGCTCCATTTGCCCAGTTTTAATGTCCTCCCTTTCCTACCAGAAACTTGATTGATACAAAGAAACGGGGCTTTGAACTGAAAGTGACAGCTTCTGGTTCCAAGTAAGATAGATTACTTCCCCGTCTCTCCCACTGAATGTAGCTACAAAACCTGGACAGAATGCATGGAGCAGCTATTTAAGAACTCTAAAATGAAGATGTTAGTAGGCGAGGGAGGGAAGAAGACCATGTTTTGAAGTGCCACTGAACCACTAGAAAAATACAATAACTAAAATAAAATATTTATCTGTTGGGCTCGATAGCAGAATGAAAATGAAGGAAAGTCAGTGCACTTAAAGATAGATCATTAGAAATATCCGAACAACAGAGAGAAAAACAATGGAAAAAGTGAAAAGAACCCTAGGGATCTGTGGGACAACCCAAAAGTCCTAACGTTTGTGTTATAGAGACTCAGAAGGAGAAGAAAGACTGGATTGCAAAAAAAAGTTTAAAAAAATTAATAGCTGAAAACTCCCCAAATCTGGAAAATACATAAACCTACGGATTCAAGAAGCCCTGTAAACCTCACACATGCTTGGGGGCACAGAGTTGGGGCATTTATTTGTTAAACTGATACTTTGTTTTGAGCTCAGGGGTTCTCTGAAAGCACACAGCAAAATGATGTGATAAGCCAACCATGTCAAACTCGTGGCCTGCAACAAATATTTTTGTGGCCCAGCCAATATAGCGTATGTAAGAAACTTTTTAATAAAAATTTTGTAACTTAATTTTTACAATATCCTACATAATTATTAAAAATGAACTACAACATTCGCTAATGACTGACTTCTATAATCACGTTGCATTCATTTCCCTTATGCGCTTTACACGCAGATGCACCATTTCTCTCCACTAGTACCAGCAGCGAATATTCTAGCAGCTGATTGCCACGTCATTAGTCTTGGACTGACTTGTTTGGTGTGAGCAAAGGGAAATGTTTCACTTTCGGAGAACAAGAAAATTAGATTTATTTGCATTATGCTTATTAATTTGTGCAGTTATTCAGTGTCTGGTAAGTTAATGTTCAAGAAAAAAATATTAATTTTTATTAAAATGTTCTATTGTTTCATGTTAACGATTACTCATTTATTTCAGTCCTTTGTATTCAGCATGTCTCTATTGAAAAAAACCTATGGTGTTTTTTTTTTTTGCAATGCACATAAACTTAAACCTTGTTTACTTGGCCGGGGTTAGCCTTTGAGTTTGACATGCTTGTGATAAGCTATATATTGGGAATAATTTAAACCACTAAATAGAATGTCTGGTACATAATAAACATTCAATAAATGTTAGCTGCTATTATTTCTTGATACATTTGCTTTACCTTAAGCTGTCATTGAAGGCTTCTACTGCGTATTTGGATGGTGTATAGCCTCCTCCACCAAATGCGAGACGACCCCCAATGCTGGAGACATTGATGACCCTCCCTCGAGCTTTTTTGACCAAGGGAAGCATATTTAAGGTCACGTCGATGAGTCCGAACAGATTCACTTCTACAGGTTCTCTGTAGTCCTTCACCGTCAGCCAGTCGGTTGGAGCCAGCACGCCGAGAACACCAGCATTATTGATCAGCCCCCAGAGACCTAGAACAGAGAGGAAGGAAAGGAGATGTGGTAGAAGCATCCTTAATGGAAATACAGCCTCTGCTTTTCACAATGGTGCCATTTCCTCCTCTAGTCATACTCTCGCTTTGAAATACGCTATAGTTTTGGGAAGTGACAGCAGGAAGCGTGGGAGGCTGAATTGAAATAGTTGAACTTCTGTTACTGGAAGCCAGTATTACAGTTATTCTATTTTTTGGTTCTGAATGTCAAATGCTGCTACTCAGTGAGACTTTTTGTTTTTTAATTTCAGATATAGAGTAAATTGGTCTATTTTTCTACCTTTCTAGATGGCAAGGCCAGAGCATATTGATAGACTGTTTATATGGATGAAGAGCAGCATCCATCTATGTCACCTTTATTTTTGGCAAAAAATCCCATCATTCACTTGGCTTATTTATGTTGGGAAACATTTAATATGTGCAAAGGTGTTTGGAATTCAAGCTTTAAAAATTATGTGGAGTCTATCAAACCATTGTTTTTGAGGAATAGACTCTTAACAATATGATGAAGATGTGATAGAGAAAAACATTTGTGGTTGTTTTTTTCCATTTGTGGGCTTATTAAATATCTTCATCCATGAGACTATTTCAAACTTCATTCAAGCCAGTAAAAGTCCTCGAGTTTAGAATGCTGCCACCTTAGCAGAATGAGGCCCAATGGCTCACTACTCTACCATGACTATCAAAGACACCTTTACTGAAATTCTGAGGCCATTTTCTACGTTGGCCATTTTGCAGTGAGAAGCAGATTTCAGGTATCCAGATGACAGTTTGGGAATTGTTCCCATATTCTCCTGTAGATTTTAACCCCAAGTTCCTTTGCTGTGTATGTGGCTAGAGTAACACTTCACTGGAGAAGACCAGGAAAAGTTAAACGCCCACCTCAGTTCTACCTTCACCAGTGGGATTTAAAACTGAGGATAACTTGAGCTGTGTTTCTCATGTACGCCCAGGGACTATCCTAAGATTCAGGGGCTATCCTAAGATTTCTCCAATCTTCTCCAGTGTATAGTGGGCATTTATGAGACATTTTCTTGAAAGGCCACTTAATATCCAAGCACATTTTACTAGCTTTAGTTACTTCGCAACACCCCTTCCATTCTTCCCAGCCCCACGTCATTCACCTTTTTCCCCAACGTGGTCTTTCACCCACTGGGCAGTCTTCTTGACATTCTCTGGGTCAGTCACATCCAGAAGCACAGTGTGAAGCCTCTCGGAGGTTTCCGCCTTTAACGCTGTTGATCCCGCGTCAGTCAGACAGGCAGCAATCACGTGAAATCCTTTTTTATCAAAAGTCCTGGCCGCCAAGTTTCCAAAGCCCGAGTCACAGCCAGTAATGAAGATGTACTTATCAGTGATGTCTGCAATCGTTGGTTGTCTTTTACTAGCATACTTCCATAGAAAACCACAAAGGACTAGGAGGGCTAACATCCATAAGAACATCGTTTTCCTGTATCCACAAGATTACTTCTTTCTTGAACAATAAAATAAGATGTTGTCCTGAGTGTACAAAATTAGAAAGAAAATTCAAATTAGGACCATCAGACCCAGGATTGATGAACTTGAGGTATTTTAATACATTTGAGTGGATAAATAGTTTTCAAAACAACTCCTTTGCTTAGGAAGATGGCCATTTAAGTGCTAAACCACTTCTCTAAAGTGACGCAAAAATTAACCAAGTAATAGTAAAAAAAGTAAGCGAGAGAAAGAGAAAGAGAAAGAGAAAGAGAAAGAGAAAGAGAAAGAGAAAGAGAAAGAGAGAGAAAGAGAAAGAGAGAGAGAGAGAGAGAGAGAGAGAGAGAGAGAGAACTCTGAGACCCTTACAACTCAGTGCAGACAGTGTTGAAGTGCAAGGCCACCAGTGAATTCATTGAGAGAAGGTGAGATGAATAGGAAGAGATTGAAAGACAGATGATGGCCAAGGGCACAGAATCCTAAACCACAATCAGTAATTCTCAGATTCTGACCTCTCTGGATTCCAGCTTCTGTGAGAAAAAAAATCACATGTACAGAGGACAAAGTAGAGCCAATTTATACTTTAAAATTGTGAAGCTTTGACCATAGATGCAGGAGATTGACCTGGAAAACTAATTTTTTCAGGACTGGAGACAACCTCAGGCCTAAAATCAAACAGGCAGAGAGAACCCTGGGCATAAACCACTTAAAAAAATTTTTTTAAAGAAAATTTTATTATTTCATGAACACTTACTGCAGCAATTTAGAATTCTCACAATTATTTTTAGATTAAGAATAAATGTCAAAGAAACAGTACTATAGGAATTTTATAGTCTTGACCATTTAAATGTATATGCCACCTTGAAAGGTCCACTAAATATTGTACAGGGTTTGGCTACCTATAATAATAAAAGCGTAATATGCTAATTAGACCAAACAGCCTAACGACCTTCTGGGCGACCTTCAGGATGAAGCCGGGGCTGTGAGGGCCAAGACCCTTGCACGAGTTTCATGCATTGGGCCTCTAGTAAAATAATAGTTGTGGATGAATGAGGCATTATATCATTGAAAACAAGTATAATATTAATTTGGAAGTGTAATATCAAAACTATCACAGGAAAAGATTTCAGACTATCTTAGAATCTAAAATTCCATATATAATATAGTGTTATTCACAAAGACAGCCAACCCTATTACTTGTACTGAGGGTAATGATGTCTGGGGAAGAGCAAGCCATCTGGTAGGAGGAAATGAATAAGAGCTGTAGGGCTTTGCCTCCTTGCCTCAGGTCTGTGCATCAAGGCAGTCCCGGCCTCCTACCTCACAGCTATAAGGCAGCCCAAAGGAAGATTATCAGGTCCCACCCCACATGGGAGCAGCCCATGGCCTGTATTGGCTTTCTCTGCTTATGGAAGGAAGAGAGGCCACAGAGAACATCCCATGTGAGAAAGACCTTATTCCTTCCCCCATGGAGCCTCAGAGTTTCCTCACTTTGCCGTAGGTCTGCACACACCTTTACCCTTGACCCGGAAACACCCTTAGAATCAAGAGAGGCCTTAAGTACCTCATTGAGGACAATGGATAGATAGGCCCTGAGTTCAAGTTCAGGCTTTATGGATGCTTCTGGAATCATGGCTGCTCATAGACACTGTGTTCAAAAAGTACTGGCAAGGCCAAGAAATTTTATAAATTTTGTTTGGGCTTTTTAATATATATAATGATTTTCTGGCTTTTCCTTTGAGTCATTTTTTAAAATTGCTCTTTTTTTTCAGCTTGTAAAAGTGACTTGTGCTCATGGTAAAAATATTTAGCAAATGCAGAAAAAAAAGAGAAAGTAATGATTATCACATTTGACTCTTAATATTTTGTGGGTTTTTTTCTAGTTTTTTTCCTTTGTATATAAATATTCCCCACATAATAAGGATTTTAAACACACACACAGAGATTAAAATTAAAATACACTCATGTGCACACATACAGACAATTTTATTTCTACTGCTTTATAAGGAACAGATCATTTCAGATGAAAAATGACTCAATGTAATATAACTTTTTCACTTCTCAAGGAAATTTTAGGTTCTTCTTTCATTTCCCCCCCTGACAAAAGATCTATAGCTAAAGAAAGAAAGGATAAAAAAACTGTCAATTGATAAAAATTATTCAGAGGTAAATATTAAAATATGGTAGGTTTGGTCTTAGCTGGTTTGGCTCAGTGGATAGAGCATCGGCCTGTGGATTGAAGGGTCCCAGGTTTGATTCCAGTCAAGGGCACGTACCTTGGTTGTAGTGTGTATGGGAGCCAACCAACCAATGTGTCTCTCTCACATGGATATTTCTCTCTGTCTCTCCCCTTCCCCTTCACTCTCTCTAAAAAATAAATGGAAAAATCTCCTCGGGTGAGGATTAACCTACAACAAAAAGGTAGGTTTGGGCAAACTAGTTGATTCTTGTGGTATGGCTGTGATTATTTCTAAAGCAGTCAAGTTTTTAGACTACACTGACTTAATAATTTGGTGTAGTTTCCCCAAATCTTCCCTGTGTAGGAGTTACTGATTTGTTGCAAATCACTGTCCACGTAGCAGGATTTCCCCTTCTCGAATATATAAATACATTAAAATGTATAATTTGGGGGTGAGGGGGGGTAACTAACTTTTATAAAATTACCTATGTAGACATTTTAAGGAAATTTTATATTTATAAATTCAACTGGTGTAGTGTTTTGCTTAAGTCTGGCCTTGGTAAATAATTATCGAGTAACTAAATACAGTATTGAATGTATTTCCTGAATGGAATCTGTAGGCTTCATTGCAATTCAAATCCCATGGAAATTATTTGAAAAAGGCAAATGTTCACACAGGTTAATGTGCCCTGAAGCAGAGAGTGAGACTTTCTGTGTTGTCCTGTTTTGCCAGAGAAAAGCATAAGGGGAGTAACAATAAAGCAATGGCTCACCTTCCTGAAGCCTCCTACACTGCATGTTTACTTTTAACTCATTTGATCCTCTCAACAACATTGTGAGTTAGACAGGGCACATTATTTGCCTCATTTTACAGAAGAACTAATATTCCAACTAATAAATGTAAAAGGAATGATGGAATTAGAAAACCACCAATTTTTTCAGGCAAGAATGTTCAATGGATGCTAAAACTAGTGGATGAAATTCTGATGAGAAAAAAATAATTATAGAATTTCAAAGAATCTCCCCATAAGATGCATACTAACTTAAAAAAAAAAGAGCAATAGTAATTTCACAGTGGAGAAATCCAACAGACAAGCACCTGAATCAACTTACATGTAAAAGTGCAGTGTAGAAGGTTTCACAAAGGTAAGCCATTGTTTTACTGTTACTCCCCTTATGCTTGCCCCTGGCAAAACATGACAACACAGAGTCTCCGCTCTCTGCTCTAGGAGACATTAAACCCCATGAGCATTTGCCTTTTTCAAATAATTTCCATGGGATTTGAATTGCAATGAAGCCTACAGATTCCATTCAGGGACTATAGTCAATATTGTGTTATTCAAAGATTATTTATCAAGGCCACACTTAAGCAAAACATACACTAGTTGAATTTATAAATATAAAATTTCCTTAAAATCTCTACATATGAAATAAAAATTAATACTACTGGTTATGGGACAGACCAAGGTCATGTGCCTCCTGGTATGGCACACTCTTCAGAACCCGCAAAGTCAGGAAGGCAAAGAAAGATAGGAAGACAGCTGTATCAGTCTGAGTGTGATCATAAAATGAGAGTCACTATAAGAATTATAGAAACAAGGAGGGTAATATGGGAATCAGGGATTACATGATTATAGTGGTTGTGGGGGAATGAAGGCCTGGAAGGATGAAGCTGAGAGATCAGGAACAGTTACTAGTGATGTCAGCCTGAAGCCCTGGAGCATGGAGAAGCTGCAGTTTGTAGCGAAGTTGAGGAATGGCTACCACCGTGATCATAATGCAAGAGCTCATAAAGCGGCCTGCAAAGCCGCCGTGTCTTATCACGGCGACTTCTCAAGAGCATAGTTTCCACTTCACTTCCTTTATTCTGATCTCTAATAATGAACTTTGTATTATTATTTTTTTTTTAAAGAAAGACTTAGAACTGTTCCAGATGCCACACTGGGAAGGATGCAGAGCACGCCTATGCATAACCAGAAGCTGATCATACACAGACATATCTTTCAGTTCTACTTAATACATGACCTGTACTCTTCAAAAACATCCAAGTCATGAAGGAAAAGGAAGACTGAGGACTGTTCCAGATAAATGAAGATTAGAGATGTGATAACCCAATACAACATGTGATCCTGGACCAGAAAATCTTTTTTCTTTCACCCAAAAGAACATTTCACTAGGTCAACTAGTGAAATTTGAGTGAGATCTGTAGGTCTGATAAATAATATTGCATTAATATTAGTTTTTCAATTTTGATGATTTACTATGATTATTTTGAAAGTATCCTGCTTTTTAGGAAATACACACTGAAATATTTGAAGATTAAATAGCACTGTATCTTCAACTTACACTCAAGTAATTTAGAAAATAATAAGAATATGTACACAAATAAACATATAAAAACACATATGTATGTACATAAAGAAAAAATGAGAATAAAACTGTGATTAAATGCTAATATTTAGAAAATCTAGGTAGAACTTTTCCATAAGTTCTAAATTATTTCAAAATAAAAGGTTGAAAATTTGGCAAGGGAAAATAAAACATTTTTCTAAGAAAAGACTTCAGTATCTAGTGACTTTGTGCACCAAGTTTTCTGCCTTCTACTTTCTGGTAAGTTCACCTCCACACTTTCTGGAGAAAAACAAAAACTCAAGCCAAAACAGTCATCCTATCCCCTCCCCTCCCCTCCCATCCCTTTCCTTCCCTTCCCCTCCCCTTCCCCTTCCTTTCCCTCTCTTTTTCTTTCTCTTCTCTTCTCTTCTCTTCTCTTCTCTTCTCTTCTCTTCTCTTCTCTTCTCTTCTCTTTCTTCTCTTCTGTTCTCTTCCCTTCTCTTCTCATCCTTTTCATCTCCCTCTCAGCCTACTC